TGTTGGTGATGCGGATGCTGCTGATGATGCTGCTGCTGACGATGATGCTGTTGATGCTGCTGATGATGATTCTGACAATGACGATGGTGCTTCCGCTGGTGAAGATGATGACAAGGCTAATGATGATGCTGCTGCTGATGCTGATGATGATGCTGATGATGATGCTGATGAGGATGCTGATGAGGATGATGCTGCTAAGGATGATGTTTATGATGATGAGTATGATGCTGACGATGATGATGATGCTGATGCTGATGATGTTGTTGGTGATGATGATGCTGCTGATCTGCTGATGATGATGACGATGCTGATGCTGATGCTGATTCTGATGATGACATGGAAACATGATGGTGGTTCTGGTGATTGTGATGGTGCTGGCGATGGTATTGGTGGTTATTGTGGTAGTGATGATGATGATGATGTCGATCATGATTCTTCTGCTGATGATGACGATGATCATGCTGCTGCTGATGATGATGAGGATGAGGATGATGACGAGGAGGAGGAGGATGGCACTGATGATGATGCTTATGATGCTGATGATGGTGATAATGCTGCTGATGATGAGTATGACATAATGGCATGATGTGATTGTGATGGTGTTGGCGATGGTGGTGGTGGTTGTGGTGGTGGTGATGATGATGATGCTGATGATGGTATTGCTGATGATGGATGATGATGATGATGCTGATGCTGATGATGATAATGATGATGAGTAGGATGCTGATGATGATGATGCTGATGATGATGATGATGATGATGGATGATGATGATGATCCTGATGATTATGATGACGATTATGATAATGATGATGAGTAGGATGCTGATGCTGATGATGATGATGACGACGATGCGGATGAGGATAATGACGAACACTTCAAGCAGATACGACAGGACACGCCAGCATGGACGTGCAGTGATGAGGCCCGAACCCCACAAACAGGGAGGGGCGGTATCCCAGTGCTCTGCCGCGCCAATATGTCCTATCTCACACGCGCGTGCAAGTCCAAAGCCAAGGCGGGCTCCAGCACCTTGGCCTACCCGCGCTTGTAAGACGAGTGCTTACATTCACCCACACGCTGCCAAGCGACCTTCGAGCTGTAATGTCACAGGCCGGCCATTGATCGTGTCACTACCACAGACAGTACGTATACTAAAACATGGATCGTCGAAGGCGGTTGAAATCAGCGATCAACAATTTGTGACCCTTGGGGCCACGAAGTGCATCGCGCAGACGCTCGGGGAAGCCTGGGCACCTCCCATCAGGAGGCCGCCGGAGGGAGACAGGGAGGAGGCAGGGAGAGCCAGGCTTGGGAACACCACTCGCGCCCAGATTTCACATGAGCTGTTCCAGCATCACGTGACAAGGGTCAAGTGTCTGCTGTGCACTGCGGAGTTCTTGAGGCGAGCCTGGCCGATCCAAGCCCCCGTGAGGTGCCGCTCGACACGTTGCCCGCCCTGGCCTGGCGTACGAGCTTGCCATCGACCGCCTCTGCACTCACCACCCACCAAACCACCCCAACCCAACCCGAAGGCTCAGATTTACCCTCGACTTCCAGTGGTGGTGGGGGGGGGGTCGGGAAACATCGAACAAACATATGTGGAACCCTTAACCCCCCCCAGCCCGAAATTCGGGTCTTCGGGTTGGGTTGGGGTGGTCTGGTAGGTAGTCATGCACGAGCCTCTGCCAGCAGTGAGCGTCAGGGACCGAAGCCCTCGGGCCGCGCGGACCCGACCCTGACGGGTTGCTCGGCATCGCTCGGACGTGTGCGTTTTTTTCTCGGCGAGAACCATCGAGGAACAGCCTTGAGCATTTGGCGAAAAAACCGCGCACGAAACCGAAAAAAGCACAGGAAATGGATGTCCGAACGATGGCCAGGTGGAGAGCTGACGCGAGCCGCGTTGCGAGCGGGACCCCTGCCCGCACCGGCAGCATAGACACCGCCTGCCGTGGCCACGCCGGGCAGCACGTCTCACGCTGCCTCCCAGAGTCCCGCGGCCACGGGCGCGTCGCACTTTCGAGGAACAGATCGTCGTTTTCTTGTTTTTGTTTTTGAAGAGGCCCCAGGACACACAAATAAATACACACAATAACAATATTCCCCATATTTTCCAATACTTTCTGGGTTTTTGTCTTCCCCCCCCACTTCCCATATCTTCCCATATTTTCTAGGAAATCGACGATTAATTGTGTCTGTGTCATTTTTCCCCTCCTGAGTTTTGCCGATCGGCGCGGGCCCTCGGCCCCCCCCCCCTAAATGGATTCGATCTTGGTTGTTTTTGGCGCCTGTTTCGGGCAGGTGGAGTCCCCCCCCCACAGGTCGCACTGCTGCAAACAGCTGCATTGAAGCAGAAGCCCCGAGCCATGCCTCCCCCCCTCCCCCCCTCCTCCGCCTAATGTCGAGACGCCGAATATGAAGATGTGCACCAACGAGCAGCACACGATTATGTTTATGCATGTCTCTCCTATCCTGCATCTGGCAGGTGACGAGAAGACTTCCAGCGCCAATGAGACCTTCCAGGGATGTCGGACGGCCTCCGGGGGCCTCCAGAGGCTTACAACGGACCCAAGACGTCCCAAAGCCTCCATCCTTTGACCTCGAGGAGGGATGGAGAAGGAGAAGGACCAGGGGCAGCATGAGGAGGAGGAGGAAGAGGAGGAGGAGGCGGAGGAGGAGAAGGAGGAGGACTTGGAAGAGGATGAGGAGAAGGATGGGGAGGATGAGGATGATGATGATGCTGCTGCTGATGATGATGCAACTTACATGATGATGGTTGAGGCGATTGTGATGGTGTTGGCGATGGTGGTGGTGGTTGTGGCGATACTAATGGTGATGATGATGCTCATGCTGATGGTGATGATGATTATGGTGCTGATTCTGATAATGACGATGATAACGATGATCATGATGATGATGATGATGATGATGATGATGATGATGATGATGATGCTGATGATGATGATGATGATGATGATGCTGATTATGATGATGATGAGGATGATGATCATAATGATGATGATGCTGATGATGATGATGATGCTGATGCTGGTGCTGATGCTGATGCTGATGCTGATGCTGCTGATGATGATGACGATCATGATGAAGATCATGCTGCTGATGATGAGGAGGAAGAGAAGCTCGTAGGCGGCGAAGGTGGGGAACTTGGGTGGGGACAGGTGGGTGTTTCAGCACACAGTGGCCACGGCCGCACGTGATCCCCAAGGCCTCGCCGCAGAGCTTGCCCTTGGGGCGCCCCGCACGGGGCCTTGCCCCGGCAGCAGGCCTCTCCGCCCCGCTTTGCCACGCCACCGGCTCCAGGCGCAGCCGGGGATCCGGCCAGTCACAGCTTGAGAAGTACTTGGCCTCACCTCGCCCTCCCCAACGTGACGTGCTCATGGCACGCCGTCGTTTCTCGTGGCATGGACTCCGTGCAGTGGAGGCCCATGCCAGGAAGCACCTTGCTTGCCTGCAGGGTGCCCTGGGTTTCTTGGGCTTCGATGATTTTGCTGTGGAAGGCGTGGCGTTCCCACACCAAATCAGTGCTGGGGTCTCAGGGTTGGGTTTCTTGTGGGAGGTTTCTTGCGTACTGGCCTCCGCTGCAGTGAGTCAGTCTTTGACGCGCTGTTTCTCTTGGCGCGGGCCGCAGTGCCGCCGTGGATCCTGACCCCTGGGACGTCCCCAGAGGTCCCTTGGGACCTCTGGAGGCCCCTGGGCGTTCGAAGAGTACCGCAGTGCTCTCTCCACCCTGGCAGGCTCCAACCACTCGCCCTCTTCGTGGACAGCGCCTCGCGAACCCGCCGGTGGCGGTGGTGGCGGTGGTGGTCGTGGTCGTCGTCGATGCGCGCGCCCGCAGCCGCGTGGCTGAGTCCCGCTGACACTCTGGCTGGGGTCTGCCGGCGCAGCAATCCATCGAAAAGCGAGTCGCGCGCCCCGTCCAGGGGAGAGAAAGAAGGGCCCTTCCACGCCCTCGGGCCAGTCTCAGTTGGGAGGAAGCGAGGGCGCTGCCCTCCCGTCCTCGACACCCAGCGTCGTACTTCCCTGGTTGGTTTCGGGTCATGACTCGGGCCTCTGGCGGCCGTTCGGGACGATCCGCGAACTCACGGAACGCCCTCGGCGAGGCGCAGCCGCTGGGGAGCACCCCGAGGTTGGAAGTCCACCGAGAACGGACGAACGCTCCGCAAGCCTCAAACCTCAAACCTCGGTGCTTCCCCCGCCTGAGCTGGACCCTTCCTGCCGTTCCCCCCTTCCAGGAGGGGAACAAACACAGACACAATTAAACGTCGGTTTCCATGAGAATATGTGAAACTATGGGAAGTGGGGGGGAAGACGAACACCAAGAAAACATTGGAAATTGGGGGGAATCCTGGGATTTGTGTGCGTATATATATATATATATATATATATATATATGTGTGTGTGTGTGTGTGTGTGTGTGTGTGTGCGTTTAGTTGTGTGTCCCTGGGCCCCTTCCTCCTTGTTTGCAGGGTGTCCGCGCGAGGCCGCGAAGGCGAGCGCGCCTTACGCCTCACATGGGCTCGGAGCTGCGGAGCGGGGAAGCCCAGGGTGCGAGTCTCAGGGGCGGCCTAACCGACCCCTAGCAAACCATCCCCTTCCATGACGTCCCCCTCGCCTCGCCCCAAGACGTGTGCTTGCGGCCGGAGGAGGAGGTCGGAAGGTGAGGGTGACATCACCGAAGGGGATGGTCTGCTGGGACCTGGGGGTCGGTCAGGCCGCGCCCGAGAGCTGCCCGACTTGCCTCGCCCCAGAGGTTGGGGGTGGCCGGGGCCTTTCTCGTCTCTCGGAGACTTAGATATTGGCACCAGCACCAGTATCGGCGGTTGCCTCCACCGAGGGAAGAGACGATCTTGATCGCGGTGACGGTGGTATTCCTCGGGCTTCCCGGGTGGCCGAGATGGTCCCCCCAGTGCCACAATCCAGGGATCACATGCTGTCCTGGTGGAGGCAGCCCCCTGTGCTGACCCTGGTGCCACTTCCCAG